ACAACTTTAATTTCGCCACATCTTCCTAAGAGGAATTGGAACCACTTTTATTATTACTTTGAAGCATACCTCCAGTTGAAAATGTAAACATTAAAACTTCTTGTTGCTGCTTTTAGATGGGTCAGACAAAACCATTGACTTGGGTTAGGAATTTTCTTCAGCCAAGTAAGCTGTGAAAATTCATGAAAGGAACAGCTTCCTATACTTTTGGAAGAGTCCCAAGCAGACCCGGTGTTTTCAATAGGGCTTGTTCCCTAGTCAGTATGTTTACGATTGCAGCCAAAAGTTTAAGATTACTGTAAGATGCTGATCCCAGCATATTCCCAAAAGCAGCCAAAGTAAGGCTGTAAGGACTATTTGCAAAAACATTATAAGCTGTACGAATGTTAAGAATGTGCATGATTAGGAAATTTTAGCTTCAGCAACTTGACTTTGATGAATTGAAAATTAAGCTATAAGAAAAAAAGAGGTGGAAACATAAAATAATTTTATTATGTTTATTTTTAAAAGTATAAGAATTGGGATACACTATTTGGAATTTAGAAACATGATAACTGAAAGATACAATAAGATATGAAACAAGGTAACAAATTGCTGATATTTCTATTACAAAGAATGCAGGATTTGGAGGATTTGGGGAAGTCCAATGGGTTTGGAAAAATATTATGGAAAATTGGTTTTTTTTGTTTTTTTTCTCTTTACTCTTTTTCTTTTTTCTTTATTCTGTAAACTTTCCGACTATGAGAACTGAAACTCAATAAAAATATTTATAAAAAAACAAAAAAACAAAGTAAGGCTGTAAACAACAAACTCCAGGCAGGCATTCCCACTCATCTGATACTGCTGCTCTTGGCTGAACTGCTAAAATATTCTGTTACAGCCAGGTTGCTTAGAAATGCCAGAAGCTGAACATGTTCCTGGCAACTAGCAGGAGAAGAGGGAAAGGGAGGGTCATGCCACACCTTCTGCTGGTAATTTCAAGCATGCCCAAATTCTAGTTTATGGTGGATTTGATATGCCTATAGGTATTTGTTTATGCAGAGGTTTCAGCATGATCATTAATAATGAGTTATTAATGTAAGAGTATTTTCTCCTAATGGATTAATGCAATTAATATTGTTAGCATTTAAGCTATGGTAGCTAGCTACCAGCAAAAGTAATTTAATTCCATAGCCTGAACTACTTTTCATAAATTGGTTGTAATGAAACTCATCACTGTTTAATTCCCATTACAGTCTTATTGATGTCTGACATGTTCCCTCTTAAGTCCCAATTTTCTTTTTCCAATGATGTACTGTTTCTCGATTGATTGTTTCGACGTTTCATTAATATATAATGCCTCAAGTGAAGAAATTGAAATAATGGTAATCTGTTCCCACTGTGCTCTAATGACATTTCGCTGCAGTTAAGCTGGTCGTGTTTTTTTATTATTATTTAGAAGAAAACATTGATATCTAAGTTTGGACAATCTAATGCATGCCCCAAATAACATTTCAATTAAAATCTCTTTGGGGTGGGCCCACAAAACTGCAGGAGGCACCGAAGAGCTTACTGTGAATGTATATAATGTTCGAACTTTTCAAAATGCCCCAAAGACTAGGATTATATTTAACATTCTCTAATTTACATATTTTTTTAAGTCTGTAATACATATTTTAATGGAATTTCGAAATATCTCTCTTCAGACTGCTTCCATCGATCATCCCCTCCTGAGACCTACTGTGACAAATGTGACTGACAAGAATGACAATACGTTGTGATAGAATGAACAGCGAAACCCACCTCTATGGTAATCTTTTCCCCCCTTCCCTCTTTCAAATGGTGCATCTTGAAATTCTTGGATGCTTGGAAACAAATATCAAAAATTATTTGTTTGCTGAAATAAAGGCTCTGGCCAAATCATTTCAACCTCCCCCCCCCCACACACACAAAATAAGCAAAGATTTAAACAAGAACGTAGGGTGTGTTAAGATTCGGTGGTTTTGTTGCTGATTACTAATCATGGCTGATTGGTATTCGTGTTAATTTTTAGTTGACTTTTTCATTTTTTGTATGCAATTATTTCACTGTCATATGTTATGTAATTCCACCCTGGAATCATATATGATGGAGGGTGAACAATGTTAAAGAAGACAGTGGTGATGATTATGTTAAACTGAATATATTTCAGCTAGTCAGGATATTTTTATTTATTATTTATTTAAATGGCAGCCTTTCCAAGCCCTCTTTGAATTCTTTCTTCAGGGGCAAAGAACTGACAGGCGGTTGGTTGGTTGGTTGGTTGGTTGGTTTTTACTCACAAAAATATTTTTGCTTGCACTTTCCATCAATCCTTTTGTCTTCCTCTGTTCTGATCTAGCTCCCGAAATCTCTCCATTTAAAAAAACAACAAACCAAACCCCAGATAAAACAAAAAAACTGAGAAAAATCCACAACCATACTTTTAAAACATGCAAAAGTTTTAAATAGTAAGGCAGAGTACAATTTTGTTCTACCACTCAACTCTAGCTTACTTTACTCTGGGTTAGGAGAGGGGGGGAGGAGCAAATATGCTTTGCCCATTGTTAGTAACATGGTTATATATACCTGACGACGCCCACATGTAGCTTCTGTTAGGTTACCTAAGAAAATGGAAATAGCTCAGAGAAGGGGAAGGGTGTGTGAAACAGTCCTCCTGAGGAATGAAGACAGGAAATGAATTTTAAAGTGGCTTGTGCAAGTGCTGCTTTTGCAGGACAAAAAAATAAAAATAAAAATCCAGAATCTGGAGGCAGAATATAGGCAGCTGCCTTGTACCATGGTGGACAAGCTAGTGCAGTCTCCTCCGGCTGTCAGGGTCTCAGGAAGAGAGTAAATGTTGGCATCATGTACTACAATGTGGCACATTTGGATTTCTGAGTGAGTGGTGTGGGCGTCATCTCGTCTTGCTACTTCTCTCCCCGCCCCCCCGCCCATTATTTCATTTAATAAAAGATGCATTCTCTGTAGAAGTGTCTAAATGGCTAACATCCCTCCTCCCTCAAGAGGCAGAAAGAAAGGGTGTGTGCACACACTTCGGTTTTTGAAGGGATTTGAGCAGTAAACGGCCTCAGTCCAGTATACCTGAAGGAGCTTCTCCACCTCCATCGTTCTGCCCGGACACTGAGGTCCAGCGCCAAAGGCCTTCTGGCGGTTCCCTCGCTGCGAGAAGCCAAGTTACAGGGAACCAGGCAGAGGACCTTCTCGGTAGTGGCACCCGTCCTGTGGAATGTCCTCCCACCAGATGTCAAAGAGAAAAATAACTACCAAACTTTTAGAAGACATCTGAAGGCAGCCCTGTTTAGGGAAGCTTTTAATGTTTAATAGGTTATTGTATTTTAGTGTTTTGTTGGAAGCCGCCCAGAGTGGCTGGGGAAACCCAGCCAGATGGGCGGGGTACAAATAATAAATTATTATTATTATTATTATTATTATTATTATTATTATTATTATTATTATTATTATTCCTATCCAGAAGTGTTATCTTGAGCCTTGAAAAGCACGTAGAACCAAGTGTCACTCATTCAACTTCCTCCTGCAGTTTTATGCACTGTCCTCTTCACCGCCTCATGACCAAGAGGGCAGGGAGTGAGCGGGCTCAGAAGCTTTGTGGATGCCAAAGGAAGACCTCAAGGGCACCCTTCTGCCCATGGGCACCCTGTTGGCAGCCCTTGCACTATTTGGAGAGAGAGAAAGTGGAGATGCCAGAGGTTGGACCATCAAGCCTCCCCAAATAACTGCTTAAACTATGGGTTAGGCAAGCTAAGGCCCGTGGGCCGGATGTGGCCCAATCGCCTTCTAAATCCAGCCCGCGGATAGTCCAGGAATCAGCATGTTTTTACATGAGTGGAATGTGCCCTTTTATTTAAAATGCATCTCTGGGTTATTTGTGGGGCATAGGAATTTGTTCACCCCCCCCCCAATATAGTCTGGCCCCCCACAAGGTCTGAGGGACAGTGGACCAGCCCCCTGCTGAAAAAGTTTGCTGACCCCTGGCTTAAACTTACGAATATTTGTTTACATGTAAGAGGGAGTATAGAGACGCGGGTGGCGCTGTGGGTAAAAGCCTCAGTGCCTAGGGCTTGCCAATCGAAAGGTCGGCGGTTCGAATCCCCCCCCCCCGCGTGGTGCGCTCCCGTCGCTCGGTCCCAGCGCCTGCCAACCTAGCAGTTCGAAAGCACCCCCGGGTGCAAGTAGATAAATAGGGACCGCTTACCAGCGGGAAGGTAAACGGCGTTCCGTGTGCTGCGCTGGCTTGCCAGATGCAGCTTTGTCATGCTGGCCACGTGACCCGGAAGTGTCTCCGGACAGCGCTGGCCCCCGGCCTCTTGAGTGAGATGGGCGCACAACCCCAGAGTCTGTCAAGACTGGCCCGTACGGGCAGGGGTACCTTTACCTTTACCTAAGAGGGAGTATGCAAGGAAAAATGCTGGTGAAATAATGGGTTCTTCAGCCCTATTTCACTGTAGAGTCAGCCAGCCCTCAACACCATTTTGGTGTTGTTTTAGCCAGTTGCAAAAACTTAACCTGAACTATTTGTTAAGAAGGTGCTTCTCTCTGGCGGCTCCATCTTAACTTTCCTGAAGCTGTGAAGCAATTCAGCTGCTGGGTAGACCGCTTGCCTTTATAACCCAGATTTCCTCCAGGAAATTCAACATGGCATACATGCTTCTCTCCCTTTCCATATTTTCCTCACAACAACCCTGTGAGGAAGGTTAGGCTGACAGCCAGCTTCAGGGCCAAGTGAGGCTTTGAACCTCCCAGGTCCTAGTTTCACACTCTTCCCACTAGGCTGCACTGTCACCTGAGTTATTGGTAAGAGTATGCCGTTGCTCATCCCATGCCAATGGAAAGGCTTACAAAGCCACGGGCAATAGCTGACCGGAACTTCCAAGAGCGATGTGCACGTGGGGAAAAAATCTTGCGTACCCTCTTGAGGACTAGAAGCTCATGATTGCCTTTTGGAAAGAGCTATTGGGCATCGCCAAACGTGCGAGCGTGAGGAGGTGGGTGGGGAAGCAGGACTACACCCTCCGCCAGCCGTCGACGACGCTAGATCATTTCTGGCCACCTCGCAGGAATGTCCTCGCATGTGGCTCCCTTCTCCGAAGGTGGATAAGCCTCTCTCTCCGCCGAGGGACTGGGCGCTGCTGCTGCTTCAGGAGCCGAGGGCTTTCCTTCCCCCCCGATGGATGCCGTGCGCGCCACTTCTGCTCCGTGCCCAGAAACTGTCTCAGGCTTGCCCAGGACATTTCGGCGGCGCTTCGGGGCTGGTGAAGAATGCAGGGAGGCAGCAGCGCAAAGCTGCGTCCGGATGGGAATCTGCTGGCCTCTCCGGAGCAGCTGCTGCTGCTACTGAGCTAACCTCTCCCTGGGCAGGAGGAGGAGGAAGAAGAAGAGGAGTAGGTCAGGTTAGTGGTGCCTGCTCCCCTCCCTCTCCTTCCCCTCCCCGAGCAAGAGCCATCCTCCCCGAGGCTGCGCTGCCTGCCTGCCTGTTTGGGCAGGGCAGATTTGGAGAGGCGCTTTGGCGAGGGCGCAGCCTCGCCGCTTTCCTGAAGAAGAGGGACCCTTGCGCTCTTCCCACCGCCTCACCTGCGCCTGCAGCTGCTGCGGGGCAGAGGTCTGGCTCCGGATCCAGGCTCTTGGCGTCCCCTGAGGCCACACACACACACACACGCCCCTCGGACTCGTCTCCAGGAAGCCCCTCGGCGCACCCGGAGAGGCGCCAAGGGGGTGCCACCACCCACGTCTCCAGGACGCAGCGGTCCCCCGCCGGGCTGGCCATGCTGGGGCTCCGGCGCGACCGGCTGCTCATCCTGCTGCTGCTGGGGGCGCTGCTGAGCGCCGATCTCTACTTCCACCTCTGGCCCCAAGTGCGGCGCCGCCTGGCCCGCGCCGGAGCGCACGGGCCGGGCTGCTCCTGCCCCGCTGAAGAAGCCGCCGCCTGGCCCCCTAGCACCATGCCCTGGACGCGGCTGCCGGAGCAGCGCAGCACCCAGACGGCCGGCTCCAAGCTGCGGAGGCTCTTCTCGCACCCGCTCTACAGCGCCCCCGAGGGGCCGGCCGAGAAGCTGCTCAGCGGGCAGGAGGCGCTGCGCTACTACCGACGCAAAGTGGCCCGCTGGAACAGGTGCGTAAACCGGGCTGGACGGGGGGAGAGCGGGGTGGGGGGCTTCGCAGGCTTCCCCGGGCGGGGAGACCCCGCCGCCGCCGCGGATTCTCTCCCCCCCCCCCCCCGTTAGCATCGCCTTTCTTTTCCTACCAGTGCCCGGAACTCCTAAGCAAGTCCGTGTTAATTTCGACCATTAGGACTAGAAACTTGCTGGTGTTGTTCAAAAGGGAAATGGCAAGGCCCTTCCCCCAGCCGGGGGTGGGTGAGGGGAATAAGAGTTCATTGCAATGTCAGTTCCGGAAGATTGGATTTTTTAACTTGGTTCTACTATTTGAGAGTAAAATGTGCAACTTCTGGCTACAAAGAAGTGGCCTTCTTGAGCGCAGACCCGAAACTCCAATGGGCAAGAAGGGTTGCTGCTTCTCCACTCGCTCTCTGTCTACTAAACCCCACTGAATTCAGTGAAGGCATGCATTGGATCCAAGTTTGTATGTTTCCATCCTTCCGCTTTATCCCTTCGCCTCTTTATTCTGGGTGAAATTGCTTTATTGGCCTGCATAGCCCAACCCTGTTTTTTTTAAAGAAAGAAAGAAAGAAAGAAAGAAAGAAAGAAAGAAAGAAAGAAAGAAAGAAAAGTTTCAGGCATAAAGGTCCACTATGTCAGTCTTGAAGCCCGATAACCTTTTCAGCTGATCCTCCTTATCTCCAGGCTGTGTAATGCTTCACCTGCTGATTTCTGCAGACTGTGTTGCTGTTAAAGATATAGGGACAAGACAGATTGGCCTTTTCCTCATCAGTTGCCAACCTTACCACCACACTAAAAAAATAAAATAAAAGACAGAGCAAGAATGCTAAGATTTGCTCTCCTGAATGCAACCTAGGTAAAGGGACTCCTGACCCGCGCCCAGTCGCGGACGACTCTGGGGTTGCAGCGCTCATCTTGCTTTACTGGCCGAGGGAGCTGATGTACAGCTTCCGGGTCATGTGGCCAGCATGACTAAGCCACTTCTGGCGAACCAGAGCAGCGCACGGAAATGCCGTTAACCTTCCCATCGGAGCGGTACCTATTTATCTACTTGCACTGGTGTGCTTTCGAACTGCTAGGTTGCCAGGAGGAATGCGACCTAGGCTGTGTTAAACACCATACATTTAAAGCGTATTTCCCACCACTATCACCAAAGAATCCTGGGAGCTGCAGTTTGTGAAGGGTGCTGAGAATGATAGTTTGGGGGCAAACTACAGTTCCCGAGAATTCTTGGGGGATATGCTTCAAATGTATGGTGTGTACACAGCCTAGGGCTCAATGCAGACGCCAGGGTTCCCTGACCTTACAGCTGGACATTCTTGTATCTCATGCTCTTGGGGGGATGAGACTGCAACTTGCTACTTGCTGGAGTAAGCCCCACCGAACAGCAACTGCGATTTTCTGAGCAGATACGTGCAAGAGGATTGCACATTGTGATTCTCACCCATCAGTTGGGAGGTTGCTTATCCTTCTCCCTGGCTGCTGGAAGAAATAATATGTGGCACTGAGTATGTTCACCAAACAGGCAAGGCCCCTCCGTAAGTTAAGCAAGGCTCGGTTCCTGAGGTAAAGAGGTCGTTTGTCTGGGTTGCGATGAGGATCTTAGTCGCTACTGGAGTAGATCAAAACCAGTAGCTCAGGGTCAAGGCCCATTTGCTGGAATATTTCGGGGTGATCAGAATTACAAGAGGAGAAAGCTGCTTTTGAAACTGGACAGCACAGAATGTTCCATGATTCTAAGCAGAACATCTGTCCTCCGGCGTAGAGCAAGTTTGGTAACATGATCTTTTAAAATGTGACAATTTCTGTGCTCCTTTAACTCCTTGCAAGAGGTTATGACAGAGCCAACGTGTTCAACAACTGCATACATTGGTAGGACTGACAGAAAACTTGTAGTAAAAAATCTGAACTATGTATTGACGAAGGATTTATAAAAATAGAGCTGTGATAGAGATACGGAGGGGGAAATCGTTACATTGAGATCCACAATTGGGAGGGGGGAGGGAAGTCAGAGGAGATTATGTGTTTATGTATTTAATTCATTTGTTTATGCAAAATAGAAAATGCAAAAATAAAATTTATATATATAAAAGAAGAGCCAAAACATGTTCATTAGCATGAAGTGTAGTTAAGAAATAAGCACTAAAGGGAGAAGGAAATGGGGGTGCAGTGCTATCTGAGGGAACCTGGGTCCTTGCTCATTGCAAATAATTTGCACCACCACTCGGCTATGGCTCTTCCCATCAAATTACTTCATCGGATGCCACAGCTGTAATATTTGGTAGCTCTTCGTATATTTGATTACAGCTGATTATCGAGGGTAAGGCACAGTTTGGAGTTTGTTTTATGTGAATTCTCCCTTCCTCAAATACAGTGGTACCTTGGGTTACATATGCTTCAGGTTACATACTCCGCTAACCCAGAAATAGTACCTCGGGTTAAGAACTTTGCTTCAGGATGAGAACAGAAATTGTGCAGTAGCGGTGCAGCGGCAGCAGGAGGCCCCATTAGCTAAAGTGGTGCTTCAGGTTAAGAACAGTTTCAGGTTAAGAACAGACCTCCAGAACAAATTAAGTACTTAACCTGAGGTACCACTGTATTTCATGCAGTACTTGACCAGGAGCACTGGCGGAGGAAGAGGAGTGCGGGGCGAGCGCACTGCCCCCACCCCAGCAGCGCAATCCCAGTGGGGTGCCATCACGGCTCCCCCCCCCCCGCCAGCGCTGGGTGCCATGCCTCCACAGGCAGCGTGCCACGTCCCCAGGACACGCACCAGCCCCGCCCCCACCTGCTCTCCACCCCCCGCCCCCCAATGCCTGAGCATGAAGCTTTACCACTGACCAGGAGATCACAGTTCATAAACTAAATATAAGAACCTACTTGGAGCTCACGGGATCCAGGCCCCTGGCCTATCTAGGCCCCAGCATCCTATTCCCACAGTGGCCAACCAGAAGCCTGTGGGGAAACGCACAAGCCGGACTTGAACGCAACAGAATACTCTCTTCCTGGATTTTAGCAACTGATTTTCAGAAGCATTACAAGCTCCGACGGTGGAGGCAGAGTTTAACCCCCGTGCCTTGTAGCCATTGGTAGCCATCCCCTCTGGGAATTTGTCCAGTAGTGGCACTGTGGGTTAAACCACGGAGCTTAGGACTTGCCGATCAGAAGGTCAGTGGTTCTAATCCCCGCAACGGGGTGAGCTCCCGTTGCTCGGTCCCTGCTCCTGCCAACCTAGAGTTCGAAAGCACGTCAAAGTGCAAGTAGATAAATAGGTACCACTCCGGCGAGAAGGTAAACGGTGTTTCCATGCGCTGCTCTGGTTCGCCAGAAGTGGCTTAGTCATGACCCGGAAGCTGTATGCCAGCTCCCTTGGCCAAGAAAGCGAGATGAGCGCCGCAACCCCAGAGTCAGTCACGACTGGACCTAATGGTCAGGGGTCCCTTTACCTTTACCTTTACCTCTTTTAAAGCCAAGTTGATGGCCATCACTGTGAATTCCATAATTTAACCGTGCACCGTGTAATTCTTTCCTTTTATCTTTCTACATTCACCTTCATTAGATATCCTTGCGTTCTAGTGTTATGCGACACTATCCATTCTCTCTCCATGCTTCCCACGGATTCTTCCCTTATCCCAGATTTCATGCAGTATTTGATCACGGTTCATAAACTAAGGGGGAGAAACAGCTTTTTTTTTTACATCTCTGTCTTATTCACTGTTACTGGGAAGTAAGGCATGCTGATTGCTTTGGCACGTACGGAAAGGTAAAGTTGCTGAAAACTGCAGTCTTAGTCTTTTAAAATGCACACTGTACAAAAAAATAATTGGGGAGTTCGTTGAGCAACCGTGCCCTTTCTAAATGCTGCGATTGAGCTTTGTTTAGTCTTTAAACTTACAACAGGGTCACTTCTATCCTGCAGGAAAAAGTCGAGCTGAAAGCCTTGGCGCCGGAGCCAAAAATCTTTATCACAAACCTGCCACCGTGTCTATTTTGTGCTTAGTCCCTAATCGGTGCAGCTTACGTGTCACCGGAAAAGGAAAACAAAGTAATAATGTAAGAACAAGAACTGGTCTGAGCTCGAAGGAGCATAGTGTGTGACCTTGCTTTGGTTCAATGGGACAACTGTACTTCTCTTTGAACCACTGAGACGTGACTATAGAGATAAATAAGCCTGTCACCTTAGATCAAAAGCAAGCATGATGCAAGCACAGCTCTTTGGTCTCTTGAAACTTTTGCAAATAACAGCGGTGGTGATGGTGGGAGAGAAATATGTTTTTTTCCTAACGGTGCAAATAGCAGCTTGGGGGTATGTGAAAGATTTTAATGTGGAGAATGGGGGCGAAGACACTTCTTCTTCTTCTTCTTTCTTCTTCTTCTTCTTCTTCTTCTTCTTCTTTCTTCTTCTTTGATGATCACTTGTAGCCAAGTAAGATTGTCTTCCATAAACACGGTTTTAACAGTGAGTCCGTAAGTGACTGTGGAGGCCAATTCTGTTTTGTTTTTTTATAAAGATATTTATTGAAGTTTCAAAAAAATTATATAAAATAAAAAGAACAAAAAATACAAACACAGACAACAACAAGTATAATTTCGATCCCTTATTTTCTTAATTCCTTACTTTCCCGACCTCCTCATACCTCCCCTTTCTGTATTCCAATTTCTAATTATTTAATTCAGCAAATCCCCCCAAAATTTCTATTGATTTTCAACAATTCTTTTCTTAATAACATAATCATTACAGCTAGAAACCACTTAATTTCTAAACCAACATCGTTCTAGCATTCAATAATTTTACAATGTTTTTTAAGATAGTCCTTAAATTTCTTCCAATCTTCTTCCGCCGTCTCTGTGTGGAGGCCAATTCTGGATCCACACATCCTTCCACAGTGGGGACATTGGTTTCCAGGCGGGAGTTGATCACGGTGTGGATTTGCCAAGCGTGCCTTCCCCTTATTTATTTATTTTTTAAATAATTTTTATTAAATGGTTTTAT